GCTTAAAAATAACTCGACCCCGGTCCCTGCGGTGGGCACAGAGCCGGGAACGCCATGCTCCGGCCACCGGCGCAGCCGGTGTGTCCAACCGCCCAGCCATGCTGCGTTCCCCGAGGGCTCCGGCTGCTCTCAGAGGGGCTCTGCCCCTCTCTTATCGAACCCCAAACCTCCCCGGAGATTGGGATTTGGCCAGGCGTTTCCCGAGCGGTGGGACTGGCCGGAGCCAGGTGCCCAAGGGTAAAACCCCTGACGCCGCGGGGACATCGCGTGGGTGCCGGAGGGGTCGGTGCCGGGTGCCACAACCTTCGTCCCCGCCGCTGCGGTGGCGGCCGTGGGGAGTGGAAACCCGGCGTGTCCGTGCTGGCAGATCCCCAGGACAAGCTCTTACCAAACTGGGAGCAGAGAGGGACATGCCAGGAGGTTTACACACATCTTGGAACAGGTTTCAGCCGCTGCGACTCCCCGTGCTCCACTTTGACCCAGCTAAACCAGTTGCTCCAGTTGCTGGTGCCGGGGCTGGGCTGATCTTGTCTCTCCATCCCATCAACTGGAGGATGGAAGAGGCTTTTCCATCCCTGGGGTTTGGAGCAGGGCAGGGGGGGACCTGCCGGGTACCCACCGTGCCAGCGACAGGGACATCGCAGTGGCACTGGGCACCCGGTTTTACAGCCTTAATTAATCACACTCCCCTCCAACGAGCACTGACGGATGCAGTGGGCTGGCGTTGACCACTGCCGGGCCGGCACTTGTGGTGGCTGCAGTGATAGCAGAGCCATGACAGGTTGGGGACGACACCAGGACCAGGACACGTCGGCAGGATGCCACCCCCATGGGATGAACCTGCATCCCAACTCCGAGCCGTTGCCCCGGCACACGGGGGTCCTGCCATGCTCTGCCACCTCCCGGTAGCACCGGGGTCCTTGAGGTCGTGTCATCGCTCCCTGCCCATGGGGACAGCCCTGAGCAGGGATGCCAGGCTCAACCGGGAGGTGCCGTTTCTCCTGTCACCTATGATTTAGCCGGATCCTGTTGCGGGGCCGCTGCAGCGCCTGCTGCCTCCTCGCCCCATCCCGGCACCCGGAATTCCAGGGGCGACGAGTCACCGGCCCGCCTGGCTCTTGGGGCCGGTGATTCACCCCAAACCTGTCCCTGTCTCTGCAGAGCCTGACTCAACCCCAGTGGTTTCCCAAGAAGACCATCTCAGTCCCCTGACGTGGGGCTCAGCGGAAGTCCCGTCCTTGTCCCCCTCGTCACCCTGGGAAGGGGGACGGGCCGGATGGGGCTGCAGGAAGCCAATTCCTCCCCCGTGAGCTGGTGTGACGGGTACCGGGTGGGGACTGGGCTGCCCGGTGCCGGCCGGAGCCTCCCCATCCCTGTGGAGAGGTGGAGTGAGTGCGTCAGGGCTCAGCAGAAACTGGGCTGGTGATGGTGGCATCGTACCGGGGGACCTCCCTGCTCTAGGTCCCCGAAACATCGCTAATGAGGGGTTTCCAAGCTGTGCCGGGCTCCCTAGACCCCATTCCCATGTGCTGTCCCACAGGGGGCTGCTCGCCCCAACCTTGCTCCCCGTCATGCTCGGTGTCACGCTGCCGTGGGCACACCAGGACACAGCCCCCGTGGCACACAGGGATGGGGTGGCTGGCAATCGGGGACGTCCCTGCCATGCTTTGAGCTGTGACAGTGCCTGATGTCACCCCCATCCCACATCACCGCCGCCGGCATCCCCACCGCCTGTCCCCAGGGCTGTGCCGTGGGAACCGTACGGGGTTCATTTGGGGCCGGGGCACGGGATGCGGCTTGGGGTCCCCGTGGGAACGGCGGCGCCGCGGTGCGGAGCTGCTCCGTCCCCCAGCTGGAATCCTGCCAGGGCTGCCATGTTATAAATACGCGATGATTAAAGGGGAACGCTCGGGCAGTTCCAACCCCCTAATTAATTTGGATTAATTAATTTTTACAAAGCCCACTATTAATAGGGATGATGTCAGCAGGCGGCTGAGTCACAACTCTCACTCGGTGCGGGTTGAAGCCCGGTCCTGGGTCCGCAGCACCACCGCATCGCGGGCCGGGATGAGCCACCGCATTGGGGCATGGAGGGATGTGAGTGGGGCACTGGGGACCACGTCCCCGTCTTCAGCGGGACCACGTTCCCATCTTCGGTGCAACCCTGTCCCCACAGGGATGTGTATGGGGGTGAGACCTGCCCTGCACCCCTGGAAAGGTTCTGGGTGATGCTTGAGCCCTGCGGGATGCTCCAAACCTGCAAACCTGCTCCATCCTCCCGCATCCCTCTCCTCTGCCCTATGGACCGATCCCTCTCCCCACCGCAGCATCCCCACGGCGGCAGAGCCCAGGCGGTGCTGCGGTGGCTGTGGCACGTTCGACACAGGCAGGGCCGAGCGCTGAATTTGGTCCGTTGCCCGCACGGGGCGGGAGGAGAGGAGGACGGACGTCTCGGCGCTCGGGCGGTGTCTGTACGTCCGTCCGGTCGCAAGAGGAAACCCAACACCGTGGTGTGGGGGACAAAGCGCTCCGCTCTCCCCTCCTGCGGCGCAGGGTATAAAACCTCCCGGGGAGGGGGGGGACCGCGACCTGCCTGCAGCTCTCTGCCAGCAGGCAAGAAGCGGGGGGTAAGTAGGGAATTGCTCCCCCCAGCACCGTCCCCACCGCGGCCACCGCGTCTCCAGCGCTCGCAGGATGAGAACGGCGCTGGGAGACCCCCCACCATCCCTCCGTCCCTTTCCCGATGTCCCCCCGCATCCCATCCTGCCTGTTTGTGCCACACGCGGCGTCCCCAAACGGCTCTGCTCCCCCCTCCCTGCGCCAGCCGTAGGGAGCCGTAGCGACCCCCAGAGCTGAGCTGAGACCTTGCAAACTTGCTGCACCATGGGCCGGGGAAGGGGAGAGGGTCCTCTTCTCCCACCATCTCCTCCCTGGGCGGCCCCCGGGTGGCTGCTGCTGTCCCCCGGCACCATGGCCACGGGCGAGCTGACCGAGCTGGAGACGGCCATCGAGAAGATTGTCACCGTCTTCTTCACCTACGCGGGGAAGGAGGGCAAGAAGGGCACACTGACGGCTGGCGAGTTCAAGGAGCTGGTCCAGCTCCAGCTGCCCAACCTGATGAAGGTGAGGCGAGGGGCAGCGCGTGTGGGGTGGTTGGATCCCCGTGGGTGTCCCCCCCCAAAGCTGGGATTTGCAAGCAAGAGCGAGCACCAGCTCCTGCTGCCCCCATCCCCATCGCATCCTATCGCATCCCATCGCATCCCATCCCATCGCATCGCATCCCATCCCATCCCATCCCATCCCATCCCATCCCATCCCATCCCATCCCATCCCATCCCATCCCATCCCAGCCTATCCCATCCCATCCCACCCC